TCAGAGTGGTGAAAAATCTTAGATAAAGCCATTCAAAAAGATTTCACTTACATATTCTTGAGGCAAACAAAGCTATTGTATTCCGTAAAGAAAAGTCTAAACTTTGTGTTCCGAGACATTTCGTCTAGTCTCTCTTACTGCCGTGGCCTTAGTTCAGTTTTATATTTTGTTTTTTTAATTTGCTGCATAATAAACTCTACGTAATTTCGGTTATTTTAAAAATGTTTTAGCCTACTTTCACTTCTTATTACCCTTATTTCTTATCACTTGTTTTCACATAACTACTCATCAGTTAACTAATTAGTTTTCAAGTATTGGTTTTGTAGGGATTTTTGTTTGATTATTCGGAGGATTTCATCATGAGCTGACATCAGCTAGAGAACCATTGAAAAACCACCTGGGAGTACTGGACAGCTGTTTCGTCCTAGTCTCTCTGGAATCTTCACAGTACGCACCCACACCACGGGGTTCCAGCCAATGTCCTTCTGGTTACAAGGCCAACGAACTCGTAGACCATTAAGCCACTGGGACCTGGTCCAGTGGCCAGTCTATGAATTCTAGCTTATGCCATTTATGACAGCGCAACCGCTTCGTAATGAGTTACTGTCTCACCTTCAACCTACTGTACCCTACTAGTCATGACTTCCCAGTGGAACCCCAGGTCACTGCGGGAATTGGGCCAGTTGCTAGTGGGCATCATATCTATTTTCAAGTTTTGGTTTTGTATGGATTTTTTTTGATTGGTTGAAGGATTTCATCATGAGCTACGTTAAGGAGGGCTGTGAAGCCAAGTTAAGAGCTTATTGTTAACTAGACACTATAATTTACTTGTATATAAGTTAATTTATCGCAAAATGTTGTAGTTAAGTAGTATATAATGGCATTTCTAACAGTGAGTATGAATCCCGAACCAAACTGATCTTAAAGGGCATTAATAATAACTGTAAAAAGAGACCAATCTATTTTAATCAGGAAGTTAAAGTAGCTTCACAACGAATCCTGTATTATGGAGTTACGTGATTTTATACCAACTACATCAGAAATACATCCTAGTTGTGTATGTCGTAGTTATAGAATGCAGGATACTTACTCTAGAAAATTATTAAATTTTATTATGATACACTTATTGCGTCAGTGCCATTCACTTGATAACAGAGAGTGTAAGTCCTATAAACTATAAGGTGATACTTCTCATTCTAGATCAAAGTTGACAGACACAGTGTTAAACTAATTAGAAAACGAATTAGTTTGTCAAGCAAAGCATATTGGCAAAACATTTCTCACTATCCATATTTTTGATCCTGTAGTCCGTCTGCACCTACACAAATCCTATTGCCATCGTTATAGTCACCAGATGATATAATCGAAGACAGTGAATGTTTTCGATGACTATCAGGAAATGTGCAATCAATTTTCAAGTCGTATATCACACTGTAACACATTTACACTATTTAGTCTGTGGGGATTTAATTTGTTGCAAGTTTATTAACGCATTGATATTAGTTAGAGAACCAATGAAAACCAAGGAGGGCTTGATAAATGTTTCGCCATTATGTAGAACTCTTCATCAGCATGCGCCCATGATCTCACTGCAAAAGAACGAGTCCGAGACCTTCAGGCTATGAGAAGAGCTTGTCAACCATTCAGCCACTTAGTTGAAGTCCATCGGCCCAGGAATTTCAACTTGAAGGTCCTGAATTCGATCTCTGGAGTTTGCGTCATGAGTGCGTATTGGCGAAGAGTCACAAACAGGGATGCATTAACTGACCAGTACTCTGTGATTTTCAGTGGTTTTCTAACTGGTATCAATCCATGATCAAGCCTGTATCATCTCTGGTCTTTTATTTTCTTTCCATTACCTCATAATCTTCTCTGACCATTCAATATCTTTTTCAAAACCAATGCACATTTGAATTGGTCAGTAGAAAAAGTGATATTTAGTTAGCTAAAGCTGTTTTTTCAGGTAGAACTAATCTGTTCTACTAGGTGTTACTATAAGGAAATATTTGGCTTAGATAATGAATGAAGTGTGTTTTGATATGATTTCCTTTTTTAGGAATTATTAATAATTCACATTCTTCATTCCACTGATGTTGTCCATAAGATCACAGGAGAAATTAAATGGAAAAGCACTGCTTTAGTATACATCTACATACCTCAGGCTAACTTTGCCAATAGTTCATAATTATACACTTTTGGTTTTCAGAATGAAACCTAGCAGTTCTGCATACCTAGACATCTGGTTATAACGCATAGTAATCATCCAGGTTAAAATGTAGGAATGCAAATATAAGTTTTAATCTGTTCATAAGACCTGTGGAAATCGCGATTAAAACTAGAGAAACCTATTAATAGTTAACCACAAAATCAATGAATAACGACACCAATAATAAAATTTATTCATCTTTTATGGTAATAATAGCTTAAATTTTGTTATTAGTTTAGATGGAAACTATCCATAAGCCTTTGCATAGCATAATCGGTTACAGAAGGGTGGTTCGATTCAGTTAACGTGGTATACTTTACAGTATATTTCCTTCACAGAGAAATATTGCCAGAACACTTTTGGATTGATAGAATTAAACACCAATGTTGGGTATAAAAATGACGTCTTAAGCATACAAAAGTACGCCTGTCTTTTGGCAGAACCTGAGGATATAATCAATCGTCTGCACTAAAAGCCTCTACTGTTTTCTCAAGCCACCTAATTGAGGAATCACAATGAGCCATAGTATCTTGACTAGTGCATTACTCAAGTTGTTGAAATATGATTACCTCAAAATTCGTCTCCTTCCTTATAAACAAAGATGGCCGGTATGATTAGACTAGTAACTTGGTTCATTATTATTATTATTCCCTTGGGTTGCGAATGGAATATAGGGCTTCATTAACGCACCCTTCATTTTCTTCTATTTTCTGCTGTCCTCTTCAACCGGGTCCACGATTGCCCATAATCACTTATCTTCTCCTCGTCACACGACCTCCATCATGTCACCCTAGGACAACCAACTCGTCACTTTCCATTTGGATTCCACTCGAACGATGGTCTGGCCTGCAATGTTATTCGACGGTTTCCCCAATGTATGCCCGATCCACCTACATTTTTTCCTTCATATTTGTTGAGCGATCGGCTCTTGGTTGGTTTGTTGCCAGAGTTTCTTGTTATTAATTCTTTCTTCAGTATGAAGTCAGAGGAGACGGCTGTTGATAAAAGTCTGCGATAGCCTGTTGGAAATCCTTTCTGTGACACACTGACTAAGTTTCTGACCTTTGTATAAGGAATGACTTGATGTTGGTGTTGAAAATGCTAATCTTGTTCCTTATGCTAAGTACAGAAGATTTGCAGACTTGTTGCAAGTACCTTAGTTAGTCTAGTTCAATAAATCATTACAACCATCCTAAAAAACCACCCCCGAAGACAAGTTATTAAGTTCTTCTGTTTTGAACTAATTTTTGACGAGACTATAGAAAACAACAGATTTTTAATAACTTTTCACTTAAGGTTATCAAAAGCCTTCACTGGTGTTCCTACAAGCATTCTTTAGATGAGTGTTACTGATGCATCAAAATAAGCTTTTATTTATGTCTTGCGTAAGTTTAAACCTTATGCTCTTATCAGAAAGTTGGACACTCAGAGGTGCACGGACTAAATCATGATTAAAATTCGCAGTGTTCCAGAATGAGAGATAATCTTTTATCAACTTCCTTCATGCATAACTTGTAAGAAGCTTCTAACTGTGTACACCATTTGATTTATTTCAATAGCCATTAAGTGGTTTCAGTGATTTTTAAAAATTGCGCTGGTCAGCAACAGCCAGTTATCTGTACAACAACCATTGTTGACTTATCGGCGTGAGACTGCAGATTACTACCTACATGTGTTACAATTGTCTCCAATCGCCATTTCGCCATTAAAATCACCTATCAAGTCGACTGTATCTGAGTTTTGGTTACATAATGATCTTCTATATCCTACGAATTGCATCCATTAAAAGCATAAGCAGAAATTGTTACAGACGAATTCTGATGGTCACCTAATAGATAAATTTCCACTTGGAACAAAGTAAGTACTAAGTTTCCAACTGCACAGTTTAATATCTTATTTACACCATCAACTCCATGAAGTATGAAGTTTAGATTCGTGATACTTACCAGTGGGTTAAAATGTGTCTTGATTGCATGTCCTAGGGGTACGACATGTACCAGCAGGCCAAGCCATTAGATTTTAGACCATTGAGACGTACTATCCGATTCATAATAGATGGTGAACACTTACAGCTCCAGTGTGACCTGCGCACTGTGTTTTGAAGAAGTTAGGGACTGCGTTTATTTGGCCGAATTCATTAGCGATGGCCAAATAGTTTAGGAGGGACTACATTGACTGGATCTAGGAATTTCAACGTTCCCTCCTTAGATTGGGGAAGCATCTTGAATGTCTGTTTGGCCTTCCAATGGAAACGTTAAACGGACTCTATGTTATTACATATGACAGTGGCAGGAAGTTACACTACGATGATAGTTGATTTTAGTGTAACTGCCATTCAGCTAAACTTTATGACATGGTAGGACTTGCAGGACCACTTCTTTAAGCCGGCTGATACAGTCCTAAAGCTTGTTTAATTTGCTAGTTGGTAGCAATGATGGAAAGGGTGAAAGGCTGCCCGTGAGGCTAGCAATCTGAACGTGTAAAAACAACACTACTGCTACTCAGCCTTCAAGCCTAAAATAATTTTTTTTACCTGGGATGCGAACAAATGAAAAAAGAATCACCATATTGATATCGCATGTATCCTACCTTTAAAAAACTTCATTTGCTAAAAAATATAAAAACTTTTTAAGTTTCTCTATAATCTCTAGCGATTTTATTAATCATAATAATAATAATGCATTTTTACAAAGTGGTGAATAAGGAATGCATTAAAAATATGACTTTTAGCAACATTTACTTATTGACCTTCAATTATATAATACTGCTTTTATGGTGTAATAAATAAACCCAGTTAAACTGCTAATTGTGGTGTTAAACACCAGTTCAATGAAGAATCCAATGCTCTAGCACATCCATGTAATGCCCATAAATTCGGTGAGGATATATCAATCACATATTGTAAATAGCCATTTTTTGGTATTTTTGAATAAACTTCTAAATCACATCGAAACCTATCACATATTGCCCTTATCCTTCGATCAGTTGGATCAGATATAATCTTTTCAATGCCACATGTTTCTTTTAAAAAGAATCTATGCTTAAACGATTGGGTTGTATAGTAATTATGATTAGAAGGGAGATTATTCATTGTTGGCTCTAGATCAACTTTTGATTTAACCACTTTCACTGTCCCATCAGTATGGCGACTAGGTGATCGAGAAGAATGTGAATTTCGCGTGCTACTGAGACGATGCTGACGATGACTTCCACTGCTTCGAACACTACCGCTACTACTATTATGAGTAGTTTTTTGATTAACTTTTGAATTGATCGTTTTACAAGGAGTTGGCTTAACACCGTCTGAATTGTCTGGATTATTTTGTTTTCTATCTAAATGATTCATAGGGTTATACATGGTTGAATTTGTACTATTTAACCAGTACTCAACTGGTTGACTTGTATGTGTTGAGGATTTCATGAATTCACAACTCTGTTGTTGCTGGTGTTGTAGTTGTCGTCGTTCACCATGAAGACGTTGCAAACTGTCAGCATAATGCATGAAGTGATGATCACCTTCAGGAAACAGGTGTCTTTCACAATTGAAACACTTACATACTTTGTATTTTTGATGCATAATATGCGATAAATTGTAACAAGATGATGGTGTAGCATAATGTCGACACTCTGGAACATCATAAACTTGTGGTAAATTATTTATATTATGCAAAATATTCGAATCTTCAAATCTTTGTGAATAATTTGTAGCATAATTCATTTTAGCATTGTTTATTGAATGAAGACTTGGTGTATTTTTATTATGAAACCAATGCGTATCATTGACTGATGAATTCAATGAAGATTTCATTTCATCATTGAGTCTGCTGTCCTGTTGATTTCTTGACATACCTACTGGAGATGGTGGTGGTGGTGCGTATTCAATGTTGTTCGATGTTGCAATAGACTGTGAAGCACACCTTGCCAGCTTTCCTGATAATAAAGAATATGATCGAGAACAAGGAGTAATATTTAAATTTTGAGTACTTTTAGGTATTTCACAAGATTTACTTCGATGTTCTCGTGTAAGGATTGTTTGATCATTCAGCCTTTGTTCTCTACCATTATAGTTCATTTCGAGTATTTCATTATTATGATTAATATGATAACTTGAATGATTCATTTGACAGATTGTAGGTTTATGATAATAAGGAAAATTATTTTGTAATAATTTATCTTGATAATTCACCGAATTAATATTATCCATACTGAAACATTGATCATTAAATGGTTTCAATAGTAACATGGAATTTCTTCGTTTAAAATTACTCCAATTCGATGTATAATAATCATCTAATAAATATTTTCTATTTGCTTGAGTCAAACAAATTTCAGAATTTCTTATATATCCGGGTAAAAATTTATGTTCACAACATGTATGCGTCAAAGCATGGGGATGGTATAAAGAGATTGGATGATAGGCTGGAGAATTTTTACACACACATGTTTCATAGGAGGATAAATGTGGCCTACTGGTTTGATTGTTCACTGTATTGCCTGAACAATAGTGATTTTCTCTAATAAACTGATGAAATCTATTTAATTTGGCTGATTCATTGGTAGTTGTTTGTACACCATGAAAGTATGAACTGGGTGGATAAGTATGACTAGACGTCGACTTATAATCTCCTCCAGCTTCAAATGGTTTATTCATCATGAAGCGTTCATTAATATTATTTGCCATATCGTTAGATAATATGGGATATGCTTCGTTACACTGTTTTGGTAATTGTTTATTGGTTGACAAAGTACTGCACGTTTTACAGAATAGATTATTCTTTGTATTACAGTGTGGTGATATACATTTCCATTTTGATGATGTTGTCAATTTATCCTCGTATATTGAACTGTTTAATTCTTCTTTATTACCTACAGAAATTGGATGTGATTGATTCAAATTAGTACGTTTATTAGTTGAAGTAAAACGTTTCAGCTCCGGTGAATAAGAGCATTGTACTGATTTAGATAAGAATGATAGTGATTCATTTTTAGTTTGTACTCCAGTAGATTGTAAATAATTCAAATTTGTAACTTCTGGTATAAATGGCTGACATGATCCATTATTATTTAAAACTTTGAAGTTTTGATGTTTTTTTGCTTTATGACAATAATTACCCATATTCTTTATTCATTCGGTAAATTTTAGGAATAGATGTTACTGATTAATAATAAAAATAATTTAAAACTATGTATTGATTAATCTAGTGATGACGATAAGAATAGGTATAAACACATTTAAAGTAATACTGCGTAATAGAATGCATGATAATATTTTTCATTCTTTCCTTTCTGGGTGGAAAACAGGACTTTAGCTGCACTTTTCTATTGTCTTTTGAGCGATATTACTTGGATATCTCCTCAGGGGATGCATAGGCCATACCTAATTATTTCTGCATATTTTTTTTTGGAGGGAGGCAGAATGGAACACTTCCTTTAAAAGTAAGCATATAAGAAATTGAATATAGAGGCTAACTCTGAGCTCTTTTACACGCATTATGATGAAATATACAAGTATGTTTTTGTAAAGTGGAATGAATGAAAATTTCGTTGATGGAATCTTAAAATATTTAGACTCATAAAAGCAATATTATTCTGATTATTTATCAAACCGCGATGATTTCTTCAAAATACTCCATGAATTATTGGTAATAGCTTCAGCTGCTTATTAAGATCGCTTAGTGAGTATAGGTAATGAAGGAAACTGCTGAAGCTTAGGGTTGTTTTCAGTGATCAATTGCTAATATTGCTAACACAGTGTGTGTGCTGAACAGTGCAGTGTTAATAAGGTAGTCAAGTGAATTGGGAATTCAGTTGATAAAATGTATAATGGGCGGTTGTATACAGGCATTTGTAACAACATAAATTATGAGACGTCGTTTTTACTTGCTTTGATGACGGTGAGAAAAGTTTTCGGTGTTAAATATGAGTCAATGTTGTTAGTTGTAAGTAGTACCTCATCTGGATCGCACTAATAATATCTAAGTAACGCAAGTCTACAGAAATATTCAAAATGTCAGAATCATATATATTTACACTTCAGGTGTATAGTTTATAATTCATGTAGGTAGCAAAGTGTAGTTCAAAGCAGAAATATGTGTATTTAACTCCGAGAAGTGTATGGATTAGAGTTTTTGTAATGGTTAGCCCATCTAGATGCATTGTTGGTTCAGTGGTGGAATACTCGCCAGCCACGCATGCGGTCCGAGATACGATCCTCGGTGGAAGCATTCCTGAACCTAGGTAAGCAGGGAAGATTGAGAGTGGGACCAGCAACTACAACTGGTTACCACCACCAACTACTATCACTACTGAATCGGAACAGAAAATGAATGAACAAGTCTATCAAGAAGAATGGCTTAAATAATCCGTTTGGCTGACACTTCTTATGTGAAATACGTTAATTAAATATTCTTTCTGCTTGCTTTTATTTATCTGCTATAAATCGCTTACATGTAAGTGTTAACGCCTTAGCTATTAAAATACACTTTAGAAATGCAAATAACATCTCGGAATATGGGCCAGTTTCTGCTTCTTAGGTATGGATTTATTGCAAGATGTCTACCTGTACGAATACTGGAAAGCAATAGAATGTTATTTTTTTTCTCTTTTTGATGTATACAGTGACATTCTTACAGTTTTATTATTATTATTCCCCTGGGTTCCGAATAGAACATATGATTTTAGCAACACATCTCCACTTTATTCTATTTGGCGCTGTCCTCTTCATCTGGGCCAACAATTGCCCATAATCTCTCATCTCCTCCTCATCACACGATCTCCTCCTGGTCATACTCGGACTTACGCCCAACTCGTCGTTTCCCGTTTGGATTCCACTCGAGGGCCTCCTCAATGTGTCCCCAATCCATCTCCATTTTCTCCTGCATGTTTGTTGAGCAATAGGCTCTTGGTTGGTTTGTCGCCCGCCAGAATTTATTGTTGCTAATTATTACCACCGGCCATTTGATCTTCATTATGGAGCCAGAGAAGACAGTTGCTGATAAAAGACTGCAGTGACCTGTTGGAAATGCTTTCGCAACACAACAAGTTTCTAAATCCTGAAGAACAACTGACTGACTTCACATTTCTGTTGAAAATCTCAATCTTGTCGTTTATGCCACGGAGTGTAGAAGATTTCCGAACTGATTTCAGATTAATGAAGGTGTATCCTGCCTTTCCAACACTGTCTGACTTTGACACCATCAGCTCTATCGCCTGTGGTTAAAACGATGCTTCTAGATAAGTGAAGGCGGGAAGTAACCTCTATCAAATTTCTCCTGTTGATGGTGACTAGTGCTGGTCGTTGTTGTTGTTGCTGCTGATGTTGGCCGGTTATCTGCATCACCCCTGTCTTCTCTATGTCGACATGTTGTCATGTTTCTGTTGCCCGCCTCTTCTGACAACCTGTTGGTTTTCTCCTGCATACAAATCTTCGAGTTCGAGTGATATTCAACATAAATCATCCACACACGAAATCCAGATCTTCCAGAGTCTTCTTATTGGTCAGTGCAGCATATTCTTGTCTTCTCACTCCCACACACAGTCTTCCGCATGACTGAGTCCACCACAATGATTAGGAGTATCATCGGTGATAATAGACGACCAGCATTGTCTTACTCCTGTGTTCACAGTTAACATAATAAATTTTCTACAACTACACGAATTAAACATTAACCATACCGGAGTCAGTTAAAGCAAATTCTTACGATATAGGGTAACTGCACTACTAATTCCTTCTGCAGAATCGTTTGTTCCCTGTTGGTTCCATGTATATGGAAAATCATATGACAAGTCTATTCCATTTTGTCCTTGTAGTACACTGATTTAAGTTGATTTTTAGATGAATAATGGTTTTTGTTCTCTCATACACTGATTTCAGCTTACTGAGGCAGTTTCATTTCAAAACATCATAATATTTGTAGACATAACATGACTAACTAAACAAGAATCATTTGTTGATTAAGTGTATAGTGTATAGTAAGTGACGTTTGGACTTTCAAAATATACACGATATCAAACAAGTTAGTGTTCATTGTTTGAAGATGAAGTTTTTGATTTTGTTGGTTTTTATGACAACTGCATTTTCAAGTGACTAGTTTTTTTTCTTACTTTTACAACTGTAGAGTTTATGAAGATATGACAATTTACAAAGTACACAAGTCAAGGTGAAATCCCATCATAATTTGCTTTGGAAACCGAAATTATTTACTGCTTGATATGTGGTTTATTTCACACCATAAATGGTAATCGAGGAAGGAGGCATAGATACGTAAAGGTATTTCCATTGTGCCTAAGTACCTGGATAGAATTCAAGTGGTTTGAACTTATTTGTCTCTCTGAGCTGATGAAAACCGAGTAAGCCACTGGTAAGCACAGCCGCAAATGAACGATATGGCCATTCACTGGTTAGAGCGATTAATTATGGGTAGCAAGCACTACAAGTGGATATAAGTAATGCTGGAATATTCATGACATTCAGTAGTATACACAGTAATGACGAAAGTCATTAGTAGTTTACATCGCGAATCAACAGAAACTTGAAAACTTTTTAGGTACGAAAGGCACTTGACGGATATTTTCTACTACGGCACGTATTGAAAATGCGGCACCATAATACTATTTAAAATAGGGCCTATAGCTAGTGCGGAAATCCTCTAACCACATAATCACAATGCCAAGAAGACACTGGACTGGAACAGTGCTTTATTGTGATTTCGATGCAAACGACTATCTCCCGTATGTTTAAGGTTTTACAATCCGGTTAACGACTCTTAAGGTAGTTGAAATGGATATTTGATGTTCACATGGTAGTTACTGAACTTCTTCTGAACAGAATAAACGTGGCTGAATAATTACCTGACTAATTTTTTTCATTGTTATTTATATTATGTTAAAGAGTGAAACGTAATGTGATTGTTTGATACCTGGAACTCACACCTAGGCGTATTTGAAGTCCTTTCTTCGCACATTATTCCCTGTTTTTGTAAATTATTATATTTATACGTTTGAAATTATGAAATGAATCTTTTTTTCAGTGGGAAAATCATTCCTTGAATTTGCTTTCTCAACTATAATATTCTGGTGAATAGAAATAACGCAATATCCTTTATACTACTTGAACTGAAATAAGTAGCATACGAAAGATAAAAAGTTGGCAAGTGTATGAATATTTTTTTCTGTCTTTTTCGTCCTTTTCATCTGCTGATGAAGAGGGAGTGAATTCATGGGATCTTGTACAGTTTTTCGAAGTCATTCAGCAGTTCCTGATAACATACTGATTCTACTATCTCATCTTATTTCGTTACTGTGGGTCCTTCAGTATTTCCCTAGGTATAGTGATTGTTTATACGTTTTCAAGTTACCTGGTTTAAAATTGTATTCATCAATGTGCTTAGTTTCACCATTATTTTTATTTTGCATTCAACCTTTTTTGATCTTCCTAATGAATTTTATAGGACAGTTATTTAACAGTAACGCTTCTTCCATCTGTTTCATTTCATCATTTAGGTTTTTTTTATTGTACTACTCAGTGCTATTGCTCGGTTTGTTAGACACTTAACTAAGCTCAAGTTTTATCCTTATAACAATTACAAGCTGTTATAGGTTCATACTTCAGTTGTACTGAATTGAATCCATTTACTTCTATTACTATGTGAACTGTATAGGATAAATGTTGAATACCACTTCCTTTTTAAACGATGGATCATTTGTCTGAATCAAATTAGGAACACTAATATACTTACTAGAATATGGAAATATCAGATGAGACGTTCTAAGTGGAGTGAAACAGCAGGTATTTACTAGACATCTCATTGTTATCAAGCAGACAGATCTGATAACAATAAAACAAAAAGGCATTGTTGAGATTATTTTCCAAAGTGGTGTTCATTATGATAATAGGACTCAATCAATTTGTCTCAGTAGAATGTAGTAGCTGTTTATAAAAGTAATGAGAAATATTAAAGAGTGAATTGCTTCTGGTCATTTATTATTGTTTTTTAACCATTAAGAAGACTTATGTCTTTTGTATTTTTTGAATAAGAGTAAATTACTAATCAATTGTGCAAATTAGATGTTTATATACTATAATAAAATACCATTCTATCTTTGGGCAGAATTTCA